GTAATGATACCGCTGAATATGGGCTATCCAGCCGTTTTGTTTTATCTTGTAATTCATAATTCTATTTGTTATTGTTTTACTGAATGCATGTTGTCTTTTTGTATATGGAAAATAAAACAAACAAACAAGAGATGGTATTTATTACCAGTTTACTTTTGAGGGGCTTGATCCAGTATCCTGCTCGCTCCAAAGTGGACCATTCTGAGATAAATAGACTCTAAAGATGGTATGTTAGCACAAGTCATGGAGTCACAAAGTATTTTAAAGGTAAAGACCGGTAGTGGTAAAAGTGCGGTTCAAGGGTTTTGGGTGCAAAATATCCATTTAATATTGTTTAAATATATGACCAAATGTTCAATGTTGAGTTGCATTTGCAATATCTATCCAGGCCGGTCGATATGATAATTTACCAAATATATCAATTAGTAGGCGGTTTCCCGGCAAAATATGTATCATTGCGTATTGGTCAAAACATATTATTTCACATGATTGGTATATATATATATATATAAGAGCTTCCATTTCATTTTTTGAGAGGGGGGCGTTTCCAAAACTGGTCTATACCTTTAAGTTACATCCGTCATTTTGACTTGAATATGAATGTGTGAGTTACAGAGTTATAAAACATTTTTTTCTCCATCCAGGGCTGATGTAAACTTTGAGGAGCTAGCTCGTTGTACAGATGACTTCAATGGAGCTCAGTGTAAAGCAGTTTGTGTAGAAGCTGTAAGTATCATTGTGATATCACACGAACTACAGTTAAATCTGCATAACTCGAAGTGGCACAAGTCTAATTTTTGTTGACCATATTATGCAAAACATACATTATTTATACTTCCAAAGTCCAATTTTGTGTAAGTCAAACTATTTTTTGGCAGTCCCAACACATTCAACTTATGCAGAGTGAACTGTTTATCAGTGAACTTTAACTTAATCCTAGTATGTATAACTGTAGGAAGGTGAACTAATTTGATCTTTGGGTTGACTGAAGTAGATCAAAGGTCAAAGACCACAAAAGTCAGTTTACATGAATTTATGAGTTTTGAGTTTGTTTATCTTGATATCTCAAGAACCATGTAAGCCATGAACTTAAAAATCGGTATGAATCGTCCTAGAGATGAACTGAAATGATCCTGGGGGTACAATAATCAAATCAACTCGTATTAATCAGCGTAAGCAGGTAAAGTAAGCAATATTTGGAGTCAAATTTTAATATTAATGATAGTGAAAATTACCAAACGTAATAGTTATGCATGTACAATAGAATGATAATAAAATGAACCATTACAGACGGAGGCATTCATTCATCACGTTGTGATTTTTTGCTTTCATGAAAATAGTTTGCTGTAAAGATTATAAGAGTCTAGTAATGCCTAGCTGGAATGCTCCACAGGGAGTGAAGATTGTGCACACAATGTGTGCGGGCAAGCACTGAATCCAATGACTGGGGTAATAGTATATCTGTAAAGCGCTTAGAGATGTCCGAGATGTAAAGCGCTATATAAAAGTTGAATATTATATTATTATATCGCTCTTTATTTAATCTAATACTTCTGTCATCTCTCTCTTTTCAGGGTATGATCGCGTTGCGTCGTGGAGCCACTGAGCTGATGCATGAAGATTACATGGATGGTATTCTCGAAGTGCAGTCCAAAAAGAAAACAGATCTCAACTATTATGCCTAAAAAAAAATCCTCTCCATGTGTGCATGTCATGTGAATAGACATCCATGAATACTCCTCTGTCTCTAATCACAAGACACTATTTATTGTAAAGATCGTTTTAGCGAATTCCTTAAGAACAAGCAAAAGGGCAGATTCCCATTTTTGTATACATAGAATAGGCCTATCAGATCTTCCTTGCTGATAATAACGATTGGAAAGTAACCCCAACCAAAGGCAACCATACATCCATAATAGTCAGCTTGGGCCAGAGAGGTGGCCTAAATCACTAAAATGTTATGAGAAGGGTCATCAATACGACTGATATTTTTGGAATTGCCGCAAACTTTTTCCCTGTATAAGCCATTCGAACCTTCCCACCAACCAAATATTCAGATTAAATCCCCTTATCTCCTAGGGTATATAACAATGCCACAACGGATACTTTTGATGACTTTTTCCTATAATGCGTCATACGATTATTGCTAGATGGCGCTGTGAATTGTGGATCCACCATGTTACCTTGTTACATTAAAATTTTTCCTAAAGTAAATGGGGCTAATAGAAAATTCAAAACATGGAACCGGATTCGGCTTAATTACATTGTCACACTGAGACGTTTTGACAGAGTTTTATGAGTTTCCACTGTGTTTCTCATGTTTATTGTAGTCACTGAATTATATCTGCTTTTTTTTTTTTTGAGGGGGGGGGGGTGGGGTTGATGATAATGCAGTTGTAACCTTATGTTAATTTTCAATTCAAGCATATTTCCAACCCAACAAATAGCACACACTCATAACAAATTCATAATTTTTTAGAATATCCGAGGTACATACTGCTGTCTGATAAAGTGTGACCTGCCTTTTTTGTTTTTCCCAAATCAATTTCTTGAACTACGGGCCGATATTTATGCATGGGAATTTTTTGTTAAAAAGAAATGATTGTAGAATGTGGTTTATAACAATGATTTTGTTTCTCGTAAAAAAAATAAGAACGTGTATGTATGTTTATCTTGGTGTAACCAGGATAATAAATTGATATTGTTAAATACCTGTACATACTGCTTTTAGGATGTGCTTTGATCTGCTTTTTTTTTTTTTTTTGAGGATTGAAGTGTATGGCTATGGTGATACATTTATGACAGGAATAGTGGGGGAAAGAGAGAGTGAGAGAAGGGGATGAAGAGAAAATATAAACTGAAAGGTAATTGAAGGTGCAGAGAGACAGATGGAGGGAGAGAGAGAGAGAGAGAGAGAGGGGGGGGGGTGGAGATGGGGATGGAGAGAAAATATCAATTGAAAGGTAACTGAAGGGGCAAGGAGAAAAGGAGAGAGAGAGAGAAGGGGGATGGGGTATAGAGAGAAAATATCAACTGAGGGGTGATTGGAAGGGCAGAGAGGGACATAGAGAGAGAGAGAGAGGGAGAGAGAGAGAGAGAGAGAAGGAGGAGGAGATATCAACTGACAGGTAAATTGGAAGGGGCGGGGAGATATAGTCCAGAATCTGCCCGGTCATTTATAATTCCCTACACACTTGATTCAAGCCGTCAAACATTTAGGGAGAGGTATCGTTGGTGTGGTGAAGATCAAAATTAAATAGGCCAGATTCTGGACTAGGGGAGAGAGAGAGAAAGGGGAAGTAAAAGTGAGGAGAAATATGTGTAGGTAAAAAATCAAAATGAATGCAATTAAGAAAGGAGGGGTAGTGAATTCATAGAGAAGAGATAAAGAGAGGGAGAGAAGTAGAGGAGCAAGTAAGGAGATGATAAAGTACTCCTGCGACATTTGCTACATTAACATGAGGATTTTGGTTAGCATACGGTATTGATGGCAAATCAATTGTCTCTGAAAACCTTGTCATAGAAAAGTCACAGTAGTCACAGCACCTACTTTCATACAATGCATGTATCATTAAAATCACTCATATTCTAGATATCAAGCCTCCTAAATCCTAATCTATTCCAATCTATTCATTCACATATTTTTCATGTACATTGACATTTATTTATTTCTCACTGCCCCTAAAATTAACGCCTTTTTATTTGGAATTGTTCCCAAAGGTTCATTCACAATAAGGCGATTTTTTTTCTTTCTAAGCAAACCTCAATAAATCCATTGCTTTGTCATGTTCTCTCCTCCTTGCAAGCAGTTATGGTAACAGTACCTTCATTTGTTTGCATTCATTTTTTTGAGAATCTTGGAATGATTCAGAAAACTTGAGAAGGGCAGCAGAACTGCATCAGAATATAAATAACTTATCTGTTTACTTCAGCATATAATTAATCGTTGTCATTTGTTTATGTTCTATCTCACTTCTGTTCCTTTGTGTGTAATGCAGATGCTTTTATGTGATTTCTTTTTTTGTTTCACTAGTGCTCCTTGAGCATTTGATTTCAAGTAGATTTGGGGCGTAATAAATCTTGTATGTTATCATTATTATTATTAAAAGAATCAATATTTGGAAAGCCCTGAATTATTTTCACCAGAAATGCCAGATCAGTGGTTATAATTCGATTTCAGCCCCAAAGAGGATAACAAATCAATGCACCAGATTGTTGAGTTGCTAGTTTGACTGGGAATATATATAATAATCACTCAAGTATTTCTCTCTCTCATCTTTCCAATCGCTCTGAAATACACCTCAGTCTCCATCTCTTCTTCCGTATTGCTCACTTTTCTGTTGTAATGAAATTTGCAGTGAATTTCACTGCAAATTTGAAGCTCTCATTTACGTCTGTGCCTCTCTCAGATGTTTTCAAACAATTCATCCCTTCTAAGTGCAGTGGCAACTTAGTTTTGATATATAAGATACCTTGGCCAATCTTATAAAGAGTAGTGATTGATCCGAATCAATCGAAAGATTACAGTCTCCTATCTCTTTATAAAACGAGGCCCAAATGTAATAGTAATTTTGCTGGTCCAAGCTCAATAAATTATTTTTCTTTTTTGTACTCTGGGGATATAAAAAGACATCTGCTACAAGGTAAACGTCATGATCAAAATATCCTCGCTATATAAGTCTTTACTGTATAATATATAGCACTACCACAATACTGTGAAAGTACATTTTTGACATGCACAGGTAATTCAAAAAGAGAATACAGTTCACTCTGCATAGCCACACAACTTTAATTTTCCCAGGTGTCAAATCAATTTTACTTTTACCAAACCATGAAAAAACTTGTTATTTACACTTCCTCAGTTAGATTTCGAATAAAGTCAAAACTATTTTTAGCAGTCCCAACAGATTCAACTTTACTTATGCAGAATTAACTGTAGTACCTTCCAAGAATGACCCCAAGCTTTCTCATCATAAAACAAACGACAAAAACACTTTTTATTTGGCTTCAATAAGGATGGGTTTATTGTGTGTTTCAAACCATGAAAAGAATCCTTCGCTTCAACAACAGTATCGCTCCTGTCTCTACAGTTCCTTTTCAATGACTTGAGATGTCGCTGTAATCCTATATCTGTGTGGTTCTGTAGTCAACATGATCTTCTTGGTAATGTCTATACATGTATGGGGAAATGTTTGTAGAGTCACATGATCATTCGTTCTCCTCGCTGCGGAGACGGGCGTTGCCATTGGTGACCTTGATGGCCAGCTGCTGGGCGCGCTCGACGATGGACTTGCGCTTGCGAGAGGAGACTCCATGGGCAATCTCAGCGGCGAACTTCCTGTTGCTCATCATAAGAACTTCGAGCTCCTGCATTGACAAAAAAGAATCGTTAAAGAGGAATAAGTTTACCCAAATCATTTATCATCTACATTTTAATTAATTCTTTTGCAGACAACAATTTTGTTGTTGTTTTGTTTACATTTTAAAGTCTAACAATATTTAAATTATATTTTATGCTTTCTATGTACAGCACTATCCCTAAAAATGCTAGGGGGGTGTTTCACAAAGATCCGAAGTCGAACTTAACTCTAAGTTGGATATAAAAATTATGGAGAGCCATTTGTAGCCTTAGAATAAAATAAAGAAAAAGAAAAAATTCAAATATTTGAGACTTTTCATAAATTCCACATTAAGAACATGAAATCTCTTTGATGATAGAAAATATGAATGATCTGAATCAACACTTATGCCTTTGAAAATAACTTTAAATAAATATTTTCAAAGATGCTAACGGCTTTCCATAATTGTTAAGTCCAACTTAGGATCTCTAAACACCCCAAAGGGAAAGGATCCTGGACATGATATATTGGCAACATGTACAAGAATTTTATTTAATAAGGGGGAGAGGAGGGGAGCTTTCATGAGTTAACCTCCTGGAGACTCATGCAACTTTTTGGAAGTTGCGGACCTTCTTGAAAGAGATTCCCAGGCACATACACCCAATGCTACAACTGAGTTTTGTTGTCAGATCTTAAATCCATCAACTCATTGCCTGAGTCAGTGGGAGTTATAATCTGCACCGACTACAAGCCCAAAGAAGTACAAACAACTCGGTGGGTCTGCTCAGTTTGGTGCGAGACAAAAAATGAACCCTGTAATTTTGTCATTTTATGGAGATACTGAAATGGCGTGTATTAGCTGATACAATTGCTGCTCTCTGAGTCTTTTTGATACCAAATATATGAAATTTCAACCTAAAGAGAAGTATTTAAAGCCTGTCTGCACTAGTTTGGCCAGCAGGGATTAATCCTTCTTGCATGGTCACCGACAGGTGGTGTATCTCATCAAATGAAATAAGCTCCCAATTAACATAAGAAAAAGAGGATCATGGGGGACCAATGTTCACTGATTAGGCATTGTTTGCTATATCGAGGACGCAGGTTGCTTAAAGTAGTGCAGTAGGGCTTTAAGTGGTACATACCTTAACGTTGTGTACAAGGAACTTGCGGAAGCCAGTGGGTAGCATGTGGCGGGTGCTCTTGGCGCTTCCATAACCGATGTTTGGCATACGAAGCTGACCCTTGAATCGCCTCCTCACACGATTGTCAATACCCTTAGGACGACGCCAGCTGGGCTGAAGAGGGAAAGAGGTTAACAACATTTTAAGACAAATTGTGGAACTCTTTGTAAACATGATTTTCGCTCTAGTAATGGCAGAAAATAGTGACAGAAATAACAATATTGGTGCAGTGAATGATTAAACTAAAGAAAGCTCTAAAAGGCCGGGCCATAGAAACTTGACTACATCCACCTCTGTGGGATAAAAAGAAGACATGAAATCCCTTTAAAAAAAAAAAGCAAATTAAAAAAAAGCTCTCATGAACAAAGGAACAAGACTTATGAGACATTGCTATATGAACTGCAGAGTGCAGGTCTGCAGTACTCTTGTTTAAAGTTGAACTTTGAATGGTGGTGGTTATTTTACCTGACAGCTAAGAAAGCATAAATGTGTTTTTCTTCTCACAAATGGCCTCATCTTATAGAACCCTTTATATGACCGAGTTATGTTGTCAGACCTTAAATCCATCAACTCATTGCCCGAGTCAGTGGGAGTTATAATCTGACTAATTTTTTCTAGCACCGACATCAAGCCCAAAGAGTACAACATAACTCGATGGGTCTGGTCAATTTGGTGCGAACCAAAAACAAGAAATACAGCAATAATCCTTGTGATTTTGTAATTTTATAGAGACTAAAAAACATACTGAAATGTAAAACAAGGAGGAATGGCCTGTAAGCTGATACAATGCCGTCCTCTGAATCTTAAAAACTCAAGTGTCAAACAAAACTAGTTGATCATCTGTTCTCTAATCCGTTCTCACTGAGTACAGCCACCATGAACAAGTGGTTACTCCCTGTTCATGTTAAAGTGGAACAGTTAACCCTGTATAAAGACAACCCAAGGGAGACAAGAAAAGTGGCCTTTACAGGCAGGTGATCTTTATGTACAGATTCCTTTAGAACATGTTTCAATGGGAAACCATTTCCAATGGAAACAAAAAATTGTGGTCTGTCACTACAGCAGGTTAGACTGTACTAGCCTCGACTCTCAGGTAACTATCACATCTTTTGTTTCCATTGAAACATGTCCTAAAGGAACCTGTACATAAAGGCCACCTGCTTATAAAGATCACTTTTCTTGTCTCCCTTGGGTGGGCTTTGTAAACAGGTGGTCTTTCTATACAGGTTGTCACTACAGCAGGTTTGACTGTACTAACCTTGACTCTCAAGTAGCGATCACATTGGTGACGTTTGAAGTGTTTGAGCTTCTTCTTGACAATGGTCGGTTTGAACAGTGGCCTCACTGAAGGAGCCATGATGATTCTGGTCGCTTATTCACCGTCTAGAGAACAAAGAGGATCGAAAAAATAAGGTGTAATGGGTGTGTGTACATTGTTCTTCATTTTATCGTCCCTAAAACTCAGCAGAGAGACAGAGAGTTGAAGGAAGTAAAGTGTATAATGACAACGGGAATATACAGTCACTTTCCCGTCTTGTGAAGGTAAAGAGGTTGAAGAGATAAAGATGTATTAAAATATATTGGGCCATTACTTCACTTTGGCACTTTGAAAAATAAAAAATTGATTTTAATTTCATTTTTTAATCAGCAACAAATGGCTAGGTTGGTATTTAAAAAATTACTTTATCTTAATAAATGAATGATTTCAAGTGTCATAACACATGCACACTAATGACTTGTAATGTACTTCATAGATTAATGACTGCATCGATTATTGCATATGCACATTAATTGACATCTCTTCAAAAACCAATAAAAAGGAAAAACAAATTATAGAACCTATACAATTTCTTATACAAAATTGTGAAAATTGAAAAAAATATCAGGTCACTGTAATTTAGGATCAAATAATGTTTAATTTTTTCAAATTTTAATTTAGGCTAGAAAGCCTAGATCTAGATCACTTGCAAACTTGTAAAACGACGCACCCTAAAATGACTATAATTTCAAAACTAGCATCGCCGCCGCCCCCCCCCCCCCCTCCCCGAAATTTAAAAGGAAAACCGAGCCAGGTGACACCAAATGGCAACAACATGGTTATAATACACCCTTTCACGGTTACAAGAGTGCGCATGCGCCGACTTGGGTGCCATTTTAATTGCGAGTAACTTTTATTTTATGCAGCATATGCAAAGCGCACATGTCGATATGTGAGTAGTAGGGGCGCTAATACTAGGGTGTCTGAACGATTTTTCAATTTTCAATTTGGGATCGTTTTTCACCATTTTTGTTTGATATTTTAATAAAAAATGTTATCAGAATAATACATTTCAAATTTCAAGTCTCACCGATGTTTCTATCAAAAGTTACAGCCCCTCCAAAACGCTGGTATATTCATATCATTTTGGTCAAAATCGACGAAAAAGACGTCCACGCTGAGTGATGTTGTTTTGCTAAATTCAGACAAACAGCTGTATCGCGCGATATGCAAGCGTATGCATATAGTACGCATGTTGCTAAGCCAATGCGCGACTTGCAGCTTGAGCCACGCTGTCTCCGCGATATGTGCCATTGACTAGTATGGTTGGCAATTCTCGCCGTAGAACCCGGAAGTGAATACACGTTGTAGTCAATGGCAATATCGCGGAGACAACGCACGTTGTCTCCGCGATATTGCCATTGACTATAACGTGTATTCACTTCCGGGTTTTATCAAGGGAATTGCCAACCATAATTTCAGTCACTATAATGTGTAATTGAATTTGGGGTTTCGTTCGTGCGCGGAGATGTTACGCGATGTAACCATGGTTTGGACTGAGCGGAGCGCACGCCCCCTAACTAGCTGATCCACCAAATAGCGAGAAGGGTATTTTTAAACTGTTATCAGTTGTGATCCCTGGGGGCTAGCGAAAATATAATCACATAGAATTGTTCCTTAGGACTGGGACTACTTATCGATCGGGGCGTCATATCTCAAAAGTGACAAACCTCAGAGTTAGCCAGGACACAATGTTTAAATTGCTGTTTTGACCAAGATATTTTTAGAATTTCGGGGGCTACGCCCCTTTGGAAATATTGGAATTTACCTGCTCTTTCATATGACACCTTATTCATTGATTATCACCTTCAGGATCACAACAGATAAAGGTTTGAATCTCGATTTGAAGAAAAAAAAATTGACTGCATAGGGATGCGTGTAATCTCTATGGGAAGAATTTTAGCACACAACATTGGGTGCGCGATCAGACACCCTACTAATACGAGAATAAGGATCTTCCGCATGAACGAGGATATTCTCATAAATGCGGACAAATCATGCCCTAAAAAATAAGGATCATCCGCATTTTACGCCTTTGCCACTATGTGGGAGTAGGGTTCCTGATCCGCGCGCTGGCAATGCGAAAAACAGATTCCGCGTAATAAAAAAACCCCAGCTCACTGTCATAACTTAAAAGTAGGGTGTCTGATCGCGCACCCAATGTTGTGTGCTAAAACCCTTCCCATAGAGATTGTACGCTTCCCTATGTGGTCTACGTGCATTGCGCGACCATCCAAAATTGGTCAATGATTTTAGGAAAAATTTGAAATTCAAACCTTTATAACAAATGATCCTGAAGGTGAAACTCAATAAATGAGGTGTCATATGAAAGAGCAGGTTTTTCTCCATATTCCCCATAGGGGGCCACCCCCAGAATTCTAAAAATATCTTGGTCAAAACAGCGATTGAAATGTTGTTTGCATCCTAGCTCCAAAATTTGCCACTTTCCTGAGCTGCGCCCCCGCGGCTTAAGCAGGGCTAGACGTAAGGATAATATCCAGATGCTTTTTTTTTCGCTAGCCCCAAGGGATCATTTGTTATAACAGTTTGAAAATACCCTTCCCACATTTTTGGAATCAGCTAATTAGGGAGGCGTGAGCTCCGCTCAGTCCAAACCATGGTTACATCGCGTAACATGTGCGCTTATAGTGAATGAAAGTATGGGTGGCCGTTCCCGCCATAGAACCCAGAAGTGAATACACGTTGTAGTCAATGGCAATATCGCGGAGACGTACGTTGTCTCCGCGATATTGCCATTGACTACAACGTGTATTCACTTCCGGGTTCTATGGCGGGAACGGCCACCCATACTAGTCAATGGCACATATCGCGGAGACAGCGTGGCTCAAGCTTGCAAGTCACGCATTGGCTGAGCAACTTGCGTACGATATGCATACGCTTGCATATCGCGCGATACAGCTGTTTGGCTAAATTTAGCAAAACAACATAACTCTGCGTGTACGTCTTTTTCGTCGATTCTGAGCAAAATGCTATGAATATTTCAGCGTTTTGAAGGGGCTGTATCTTTTGATAGAAACATCGGCGAGACTTGAAATTTGAAATGTATTATTCTGATTACATTTTTAATTCAAATATCAAACAAAAATGGTGAAAAACGATCCCAAATTGAAAATTGAAAAATCGTTCAGACACCCTATTAAAAGTCTCTGTGCATACACTCTAGTCTATGTGAAATGCATTAAGGTCATAAGGAGCATCATCGCAGAATCGGTTTGTCGCATCGCCTACGCGCGGATCGGAAATAAAAATCATCCACAAAAATGCGGACGATCCTCGTTTTGTAGGTCGCTTGTGTCAGTGTCAACGAAGACGATCCTTATTCTCGGACTAGCGCCCCTACTGATCACGATGTGAGTGCGCAACAATACATGCATGTCTGAAAAAATTGACAACTCAATGAATGTTTACTCGCAAATTAAAATGGGAGCCTTAACCGTGAAGCGAAGGGGTGTACGAGACACTGTCAATATCGCACTTGCAATCACACATTTCTCTCTCGTCTGACAGGGCCAAGGCCCATAACAATTTATTCTAGACACTAAGAGTAAGACGGTTCATAAAAAATATTAAAAAATAGCCGAGCCTCAAAAAGTTGACAGGGCTCAAGAATGTCATGATTCTTACAAAAATTATCAACAAATGTAGATCTATTAACAATTAATTTTACTAAGAATGATTTAGAAATCTTGATGGCAGAAAGTAGATTCCGAGGTGTCCGTAACGGGTAAGGAGTCACAACATAACATCTGAATTGCTAGAGGAAAAAAATAGAACGCCACAGAAAAAGGTGTACGTGGGCCAATACAAAGTTCAAGCAAACCGATTCCAACAAGCGCTCAACAAATGTGAGAAAATTGTTAGTTCACACGCAGTTTACTTAAAAATTATAAAAATTCTAATGCTATTATATAACGTTAAATCGGTAAATGTTAATTTTGAACACTGATTGATGGAATTCACATATAATTTGTCATTGATTGTGAGAATATTCTAAATTTCAACGTACATGGAAAGAGCGACGTCTATAAAAGGATGATGAACGGTGAGGGCGCACTGATTCTCATTTTATTTTTTTCCTTCGAGCTCAGCTCAAGCGTCATTATGCCAGCTGAGGTGGCAGGGGCCATGGGTGGGGCCGGAGGAAAAGGGGTGGGGAGGGGGTGGGGGAGGGAAAAAAATTCCCCGTAAATGTGAAAATCGCACCAATTGAGCGGGGGGGGGGCGTCTTCTGTTTTTCAACAAATAAAGGTAAAAATAACGTGTTTTATATCAGTCTGTTTCCCCCCAGGGGAGGGAACCCCCTATATATAGATCCGCCACTGGGCCTACCTTCTCTTTTCTTCCGTCTCCGTTTGTCTCTCGATCCCTAGACCTTCTGTCATCGTGCGCCCCGGCCCTTATCAGGCGCCTTTTAATTGGCTGGCTGTGCCCGCTTAATTATATATAACATTTTTATCATCATCGACGATCATATATTTTGAAGAATAAAATTTCACTTCAAGTTCATTTATACCCGCCCCTCTTTCATTCATTCCTTCTTACTCTCCTAGCTCTGTCTCTCTTTCTTTTATCTCTTTTCTGCCATTGTTTCTCTCGATCGATCTCTGCTCTGTCCATTCTTTTCTGTTTCTATAGCTATATAGCTGCCACTTCTCGTCTTTAATTGTCTCTATGTCCCCTCTCTAGCTCTCATCTCACACTCTGTTCCTACTAACATTTCTTTATCCTTATCTTTATTAGTTGGTTTATATATGTATGCATTATATTATATTCTGTCTATATGCTTCCCCCCCCCCCCGTCTCTGTGTGGATCTGTCTCATTCTTGTCTGTACTGACTTTTCTACTTATGTTGGTCTCTCGGTCCCCTCTTTGTGCATCCATGATTTTTCTTTCTCACCTTGTTCTGATTATGTTTCTCTGAATGTTCTGTCAGTTTGGATCTTATCTCTCTCTCTCTCTCTCTCTCTTTACTATTTCTTTGTTTTTATCTGTCTCTCTCTCTCTTACTCGTTATTATTTCTTTGTCTGTATCTGTCCCCTCTCTATATTTTCTGTCTTTATCTCCCTCTCTATATTATGTCTTTGTCCCCCTCTCGCTTTCTCTATATTATTTCTTTATCTGTCTCTCTCTCTCTATTATTTCTTTGTCTTTATCTGTCCCTCTCTTTCTCTCTATTATTTCTGTCTTTATCTGTCTCTCTCTCTCTCTCTGTCCCCCTCTCTCCCTTTCTCTATATTATATCTGTGTCCATGTCGCTTTCTCTCTCTCTCTCTCTCTCTCTCTCTCTCTCTCTCTCTCTCTATCTATCTTTGTTTTTATCGCCTCTCTCAATCTATCTGATAATCCTCTCCATAAAGAACAATTTTTATTTAACGTAAATATACTCGAATACACATTGGAATTACATGCGTTATACACAAATTATTTTATTCTGCCTGAATACTATATGCAATAATACATACTTTTAGCGAGATGTAAATATATATACTGATAGAATAAGAATAGAAGGAGCTACATGGGTATAAAACATTATTAATGCATATGTTTATCCTTTTTATGCAGAATAAGATACATTCATATACATGTAGATATTTCATACCTTTTCTATTATCATTACTTTGTCTCATTTCACTGTTTCTGATTCTGTCAGAAAAGTTTACAGTTCTGGTGAAGGTGGAAAATAAGCTGTCACATGAAAATGATTGCTCTTTTTAAAAGGCAGGGCATTCTACCGACAATACTCAAGATTCATGTATACTGCCTCCTACTGCTCGTAATGCCCCCAATGTGTCAACAGCAATGTCCAACAATGCATATCACCAACTAATGACACAGGCATGACAATGCTTGGGTACAGAGACTGGAAATCGCTCTACACTGTATGTACGCCTTCGTCGAAAGATTGATAAGAAGTGAAATGCACTAGTCACTAAAATATCCTGTCTTTAAATGCCCTGCCTTTCAATTACCTCATCAAACCTCGTCCGAGAGCTGATAAGGAAAAAAATACAAAGAGAACAATCTTCTTGAATGAAAATATTACGAGAAAGTTGAAATGGCAAGATTTCTTCTTGAGATGCTTTTGTATTTCAGGTATAAATGAGCAACTCTAAAACATTGTCAGCTGATGACCCATACATTGACAACTATAAATAGTGTGTAGTTTGGAACAAGGCCCTGTTTCATTGAAAACTTGTCATCGAATACAAGTTACAATAACTGTTATAAGCTACTGAAATCGGGGCATTTGATTGGCTGTGAGCAAATTGGTCATAGAAATTTAGCATTTGTTACTGATAACAAGTTTTTATGAAACATGGCCCACATACTGACATCAAATGACTTTGAATTATCTTATGGAAGGTGGATCTTTTAACTTCATAAAATGATCAAATATAAAGCTGACATATGGTTGCTAAATTTATGAGACAAAATGACTTGGACTTGCACAAAGGGAAAGTATGTCTCCCAGCTTCTATTGTTTTCCTTCCCTTACTTTCAGTAAAGCTTCTAAACCAATTATGTCCATCAACTAACAACGGTATTCACCATCAGATAGAATGAAAAAAAAACTAAATAATGTAACTTCATACTGTTCCTGAAAACTTTCTTGTAAAATCACATGCATGTCTTGATCAATACAAAAATATCAGTTTTGAGATAAAAGTACATCAAATATCTTACTAGACATGATTGAATGTTGCATACAAAAGTAGGCATCCATGATCAAAATTCCCTTATTGTCAAAAGTAACCTCACATAAGGGGGTGGGTTACCTCCCCCTCCCCATTTCTTTTAAATATAAATCAAATCAATAAATTATATCAATGACTGCCACTAAACCAGTGAACACATCGAGACATTGCTTTTCATGCCTTCTTTTTAAAATGTACATTGAATAGTGATAAGGTTTTGTAGCAATCATGACATGGCAATTCTGATCAAATGGTGTTCAAGTTTTTAATTCATTTTGCTTATTTCTCCCCAATGTACGAAAGTCGGGAAGGAGCTTACTTGTTTTAATTTTGTTGTTTTTATTTTTTTGAAATACCCGACACTCCTTGACACAAGAGAAGTCCAAGGATGAGCGAGCAGACCGTTAGCTAGTGTATGGGAGTGTGAATGGGAGTGTGTATAAGAGTGTAGATGTGAGTGTTTATGAGAGTGTCCAAGGTACAGGAGTGAGTATAGGAGCGTGTATAGGAATGAGAGCGTGTAAGAGCAAAGGGCCTGCTTGCTCATCCTTTGACCTACTCTTGTGTCACCTCACAAAATATATTTTAAACGTGAATTAATTTGCCTGTTATTGCCTTAGTCATATTAGTTATGAACTTTGTTATGAATTTTGTTATATACTGTATATTATACTTTGTGACAATGTCAACCACATTTGTATGTATTATAATTCATTGCCAATGTAAATTGTTCATAATTCAGCCATCTGGCTGCGAAGTGCAATCAATAAAACCTTTTCAATCTCAATCTCAATCTCAATCTTCTTATTCAGAGTTTTCTGAGATTTGGGGAGTGTTTCACAAAGACTAAGATCGACTTTAAGTTGGACATAACTGTTTGCTCTCAGCATTTACTGGTATTTGTCTCTCAAGGGACGTACAAATCATGGTCACAAATCTACAGAATTTATATTTTTTGATAATTCATTATCGAAGGAAAAAACATTATCTAAAGACCATAATGGTGAGAGCAACCAGTGACATGAATGGCCTGTCATAGTTAAGTCCAACTTAAAGTCGAACTTTGTCTTTGTGAAACACTCCCCTGAATCATGAAATTTTACAGTTAGGTACCTGCCTCCTGGCCCCAAAATGGACCCAAATTGAATTTTAAAACAAACAAACTAAAGTGTGCGAGTCTAAATTTTCTAAAAGACATGGACAATTTCTATTTTGAAATACTGGCTCTATCATATAGAACATTGCGTCTTCAAGACAATGGTAATATCTGATACGGAATAAAATCTGTAAAACATGAAAAATTAAAATAAAAAAGCAAAAGAAATCATATGCAGACATACATGTATGTTAAAGAACATGAATTTGATATATCACAAATTAAAACTGCATTAAAACAATACATAACAATAAATTTTGACAGCGAAAAGTTTGTTACATGTATGCTTTAAACAAACTTCCTGATGATAACTATATCTGATAAGATCAGATAGTAAAAATTCAAATACATGATCAAAAATAAATACACATCTACTATACGTAGGAAAAATAATTGATGCAAACAATACTGATAGTAATAATTGCAAATTAATATGGCACCTTTTCCATTTGATAAAAAGCTTTTTTGAGTTGTCGTCTTTTGGTCAGTGGCAAAACATTTTGTCTGCATAGCGCTCATGTCAGTCAGATTTGACCCATTAAGTTGTATACTTTCACGCAGAGTTAATGCCCTTGGGGCTCTAAGCAGGCAAGTTACAAAGCAGTGACAATGTGAGTTCATATATTGCGTATTGTTTCACAAAAGTCTATATCGAGGGTTCAGTGACACAAAGATATAACTCTATATTTTGCCAAAATGAGTATTTGATATCAAAATGTTCAGAAACATGTGGGCTTTCGAGGAACACACAAAGACTTAACTCCACCCAACACCCCATTGAAGTCAATGGCTAGTGAAACATAGACTTAAATCCTTAAGGCCCAAGTGCTCAGTGACACATAAACCACTTTCTCTCAAAATGGCCAAAATGGAGTTACGTCTTTGTGTCACTGATCCCTCAATATGTTGTAAAATCTTTGTTTGACTTGTTCAACTGAAAGTGATGATACCAGGGACCTGTTTCACAAGCTTTTTTTCAATGACAAATGACAAAAATCAGTGTGATAACCAATCAGAAGCAAGGATTTCACTAGCTTATAACGAAAACTGTCATTTGTCACTGATGACAAGTTTTGTGAAATGGGGCCCTGGAGGTGGGCATATTAATAGCTCTACATAATCCAACACATGAGGTTCAAGGCATGTATATGCAATAGAAGTGCTATTGACGTCAATCTTATGGGGCGTTGCAAGAAAGTTGTGATTGATCGCAAGTTGCAATTGATTGCAACTGATATTTCAATTTGCAATTAATTGCAATCAACTTTCTTGCAACGCCCCATTACAGTCTATGCCTGCAGACCTAAAACTTAGAGGCACAGGAGGTAACAAAGAATTAATGTTTTTGTTTTTTCCAAACCATTCTACTATGACCTTCCCGAAGACTACGTTATGCTGGCAAGAAAATTGATCCTATCATGTACATACATTATATACAAAGAATAATGATATTTAGCATTTATCTAAATACTGACCAAGCACTGTAAAATAATATCATTAGCAGAAGGGGAGAGAGCAATTGCCCCCCCCCCCCCCTCAAAAAAAAAAAAAAAAAATGAAATGTTCTCAAGGTCATATTCTTGGTTCAAGAGCTTCCCAGTTCCCAGACCCAGAGGCAATGGCTCGTTGTTGGTTGTATTTTTGGCATTCCGTCCCAAATTTGACTATGTACGGCTTGTCTAGTTCTTAAAGGTATCGTTTAACAATGTTAAATCTGAGATGCACGGCCCTACATGTACGTGTTATCAGTGTCTGTGATATGGTGTTATATTGAAGCCCTCAAAAAAATTGCACTTCAAAATGATCAAGAAGTGCCTCAAAAAAGTAAAAACCTTTGAGTGACCGGTTTTACCATACTCGTTTTACCCAATAGACTGTAGTGTTATGAAAAACGTTTGGCAAACGTAAAATTTGATTTTGATTTATAAATATCTTGATAATCAGACAGGTGATCGGCTTGTAATAGTCATGGAGTTCTTGACTGACCTAAAGGTTTTAATTATCATTGCAGCATGAGCTAAATCAAGGATTTTTTTTAAAGGATCTAAGACAAAGTTACCGGATCCCTTTAAGTTGAATCAGTCGAGGTAGTTGAGTTGTAACAGTTCCTAGTTTGGAAACTCTGTGCACCTGAGCTTCGCTGGTTCACAATGGGTTTAATGTCTTCACACCCACCTTACTATAGCAAGCAAGACTAGCCCTTTGAATGTAAGCTTGAGGGCAAATCTAGAAATTGGTACAAAGATAGGTTGTGGCAATGAAGAATGTGAAGTCTTGCTAAACGCATTGCCTAAAGGAACTTAAGCCTAAGAGATTTAGAATATTCAGTAGTCATCGTGTTAATAAGGGATTCCCTTGTCATGGACCTTACTGTGACAGGCAAGACCGGCTCTCTGCTTGAAAGCTTGAGGACGCAGTGGACACTGGTAAGGTTTCTCCAGTAGTCATCGTGTTAATAAGGGATTCCCTTGTCATGGACCTTACTGTGGCAGGCAAGACCAGCTCTCTGCTTGAAAGCTTGAGGACACAGTGGACACTGGTAAGGTTTCTCCTCAGAATGTATCCTTTGGTGATTCTTCAAGGTGGACTTCGTCTTGAAGCTTTGTCCGCACAGCTCGCACATAAATGGCTTCTCGTCGGTATGGGTCTTCATATGACAAGCCAGCCCAGCTCGTTGCCTGAACATCTTGGGGCAAACGGTGCACTTAAAGGTCTTCTCGTCGGAGTGCAGTGCCTTGTGGTTCTGCAAGGTTTTGTTGTCTGCAAAGGCAGCACCGCATTCTTTGCAAAGGTATGGACGTTCCCCTGAGTGGATCCGCAAATGAGCCTTGTAGGAATGATTCTGGGTGAAGCCTTTGTTACATTCTTTACACCAGAATGGCTTATCATCAGTGTGGCTTTGGGGATGGGCATTCATCATATGACTGGCCAATCCAGCCCTCTGCTTGAACATCTTGGAGCAGACGGAGCACTTGAAGTTCTTTGACTGTAAGTGGAGGAGCTTGTGGTTCTGCAAGGTTGTACTGTCAGCAAAATCAGCACCGCATTCGTCACATTCATACGGCCTATGACTCTGCATGTGCGACATATACAAATGATGTTCTGTGAAGCCGATGTCGCACTCTGTACACCAGTATGGCTTTTCTTCAGAATGGGTTCGGATATGGACATTCATTGCTTTCTTAGAGGCAAAGCCTAGGCCGCACTGGAGGCATTCATATCGCTTGAAGTTCAAAAGACAATGCATGTGCTGAGTTGAAAACTGTGAGAACTGTTCATCATTGAGAGCAGAAGAATCAGCCTCCATCAACATAACCTGATCCGTTGAATAGGAAGCCGTTGCTTTGGGTGATGGCAGGTTTCCAACAACCATTCTTTCAGCTTCATTGCAGTATTCCATTGACTTTATAGGTTTTGTTGGTTTTCGCTTCCTCTTAGCCTTCTTGCAACTTTCACCCTCAACCTTACTCATCCCATTCTTTCTCTTCTTTACAAGCTCTAAAGTTTTTTCTAATGAAGTCATAGAATGGTTTGTCCGCACTTCATTTGAACAAAAAGAAGTTGTCGGAGTACCTAATAATGTGCCTTGAGGGACACCAGGTGATTCAATGCTGATATTATCACTTGTCCCTTTTCTAATGCTCTCATCATGATTGGTACCAGTCATACACTCTGCACTAGAATTCCTACAATCTTTTACTAACATTGCAGTCCTTGATGGGGAACTTTCAGCAGAAAACATGTTACTTTGTAATGTGCTTGAAGAACATTTGCTATTTCTAGAGGTATTTGGGCCAAAACTCTGGCATTCTTCCTGTGGTTGTTCAGTCAGGTTAAATGCAGGAGGTTCTGCTTTAATTTCATCTGAATAAATAGAAGTTTTTTCAGTACCTAGGAGTGGGCCTTCATGAACACCCTGAGGAACATCCTGTGGTGCAATGGTCAAATCCACATGCATCTCCTCTTCTTTCCTCTCATCATGATTGGCACCAGTTATACTTTCTCCTAAATCAATCTTGCTGCTATGTGCACCAGAGTGTTTACAGACTTTTCCTAAAATGGCAGTGCTTTGTGAGGAATATTCAAAAGAAAACGTGTTACTTTGTAACAAGGTTAAAGAACAAATGCCATTTCTCAAAGATTGAGATTCTACCGATGGTTCTTCACTACTCTCTAGGCTATTGAATCTTACGGAAGTTGGATCAAATTCTCGAGGTTCTGCTTCATTATTATCCAAACGAACCAAAGTTGATGTAGTACCTAATAGTGTACCTTGAGGGACACCAGGCAGTTCAGTGCTGAAATTCTCAGTATTCTCCTCTTGTTTTCTCTCATGATTGCCTGTGCTTGTATATCCTCCATCAATCTTACTGCTATGTGCACATCCATCAATCTCGTTACTACATGGACCTGAGTATTCACAGTCTCTTCCTAACATGGCCGTGCTTTGTGAGGAACATTCAGAAGAAAATGCACTACTTTGTGACAAGTTTGTAGAACAAACGCCATTTCCTGAAGAATTTGAACCATAACTAATGACGTCACTGATCTGGCCATAGAATGTGAGGGAAGTTGGCTCAAATTCTGGAGGTTCTAATTTAACGGTTACTCTGCTTTCTCTTTCTTTGACACAAGGATCCATACCTGAAGGGTTTCCTGGGGCTTCCATCTCACATGTAGACAGAGTTTCCCTCAAAATCTATTCCAGCCTGTCGACAGAATCTTGTCATCAGAAATGCTGCAACCAGAGTTCACCGTGGTGGGAATCCACTCAAACCAGTTGAAACAGGTTCTCCCTCTTCACCTGGGAAAGAAAAGAATAGAAATGATAAATATCCAATAAATGTGTATTACTTAGAGAAGGGGCAGACAGCAATATCTCTATTCTCAAAACAACCTGCTTAAAGATAGAATTGAGTTCTGGTTATGCACAGCAATGTGAAAAAAACTGTGTAGAAACATTTTAAAGGGTGGAGCATCTAGCAGATACATTAAAGGGAAAGTCCACCCCCAAAATAAGTTTGTTTTGATAGAGGCAGAATAATAAGAAAATCAGGTGAGTGAAAGTTTGAGCAAATTCTGAATGAAAATAAGAAAGTTATGAATTATTGAAGTTGTGATCAATCAAATAAAAATTGGCAACTCTGTGACTTATTATACAAGCTCTCCTTCATTTGCTTTGTGCATAATATTCCATAAAATCATGTTTTCTTCGTTATTGATGACGGAATATATATTTGTTCCTTGCAGGGGGAGTATAGAAACATATTTGCAATTATTATATTTAGGGTGCATGTATGGTTGAAATTTTTCTTGAGGGAAAATGAAAATTTAGATTTTTTTAGTACTGAGCAAATGGAAGTTGAGCTCGCATGATACGTCATAGAGTTGCCAATTTGTGTTTGATTGATCACAACTTAAAAAATCCTAACTTCCTTATTTTTAATCGGAATTTGCTCAAACTTTCACTGACTTGTTTCTCTCATTTTCTACTCCTATTAAAACTAACTTAATTTCAGGGTGGACTTCCCCTTTAAGTACAGACATGTCTTCCAAGCTGCAATGTGGGACAACTAGAGCGACAACTTTATCAAGAGTCCATTAGAGCAAAGCTACATGTACATGTAAGTGTGCATTTCGCTAAGCTACGTATGCTGTGTAGGCTGTATTAGAATTAATAGAAACAAGACCTTCATGTGAATACACACTATTTAAAAATCAAAGATCATAAATACAGCAATTTCACTTGGCAGCTAGTGCAGTGGCTTGCCAACAGTTACTCAACATTTCATTATCATAGTCTTGTAAAAATGTGTAGGCCAAAGCGAAATTCCCCGTAAAATACAAACCTCGGCCTTGTTTGTGTCAAACCAAATCGATATGCCAAAGATTGTTGGAAATCTTTAAAATTAATTTAGTCTTAGAAGTTAGATTTAATATATTTTCTCTCACAGAAATTGTATAATTGAAAATTAGAAATAGTCTACAGTCTAGATCCAGAACTAGAATGCACACGACATGACATGACAAACTTCACAAAGCAAAGCTCAAAATTAAAATGTTTTGCAACAGAAATTGACAAGTATTCTGACACACATAAACCACACTTTAAATTACCAGTATTCACAAGAGAATAGTCACTTATAATGCAATTATAAAAAGCACCTCTTATTCAATAATTCAAAGTGATACAAAAATCTGTGGCACGAAACTGTAATCTGATACGCCCCAAACTTTTCCAAACACAACGATTTCGATAGGACACGAAATCGTATGCATGGGGCCGAACATAGATTAAAGTGAACAATTCGACATCAATATTTTCATCTTATTGGTATTTTCATTCAAATTGATTCAGTTCAGATTGTTCCTCAAATACTTACAGTAACAATGCATCCATTATATCATCTGTTTCATAGAAAGAGAATATGTGAATAAGAATTTGGAGAATAGACGTATCTTTCTTTCTTTTTCAGCAGATGAGTGTCTAGTCTTTCAGTCCAGACCCTTTCATTACACTACACTACGAAGCGACCCGACCTCATCTTCTCTTTCATTATGTATTTCTGTGTTCTCCAACTTCTCCTCCAATCTATCCTCTTCTCTTTTGTCATGCATTTCTTTTCCTTTTCTTCTATTATTCCTTTTTCTCCTTCGTTATATATTTCTTTGTTTTTCCTTCAATCTATCCCCACTTCTCCCGTCGTTATGTATTTCTTTTGTTCGCCTTCATTCTACCTCTTCTCTTTTGTTTTATGTATTTCTTTGTTTTAATCTGATAGATTAAGTTTCTCCTTCTTTATGTATTTCCCTGTTTTTCCATAGTCTAGATCGATCTATATGATCCTCTTAGCTCTTCAATTATGCATTTCTATGTTCTTCCTTTGACTTAATTATCCTCTTCTCTTTCCTTATATGTATTTCCTTTTGTTCCCCTTCTCAATATCCTCTCCACTATCCTTGTTTTCCCCTTTCTATCATCTTCCCTTCCCTGGGTGTACGTGCTTGCACATATAGTGTAAGTGCGCTGACGACTTCGAATCTTTCAGAGCACTTCTTGGATTTTTTTCGCGAAAATGACTCAAGGCACTTGTTGTGTAAAAAAAAATATGCGCGGCTGGGAGATGAGGGCTAGTCAGGCGCGTAGGCAGGGTGGGGGGGGGGGGGGGGGGGGGTTTTAGGGGGTTAAAACCCCCCTTTGGTATTTTTTATGTGTGTATTTTGTGGGAAACCCCCCTAATTTTTATTGTAAATTATACTTTTGTATGCGTTAATTTGTTCCGAAATTTACAGTCAGGCAAAAATATACTTATTTAGAAGCCTTAATTCATGTCAGCCAGGGCTTGCAGAGCAGCGGGGATCCAGCCCCACTTTTGAAAAAGTATGTTAAAGAGAAGAAAGAATGAGTAACCTACCAGTATCAAAATATGTTCATTTGTAATTAAATACCATAATTAAATGCCTAAAACCCCTGAGCTCCATGGGGCTTAGCCCCACTGACGGCTCTAGGGGCGGCGGGGGGGGGGGGGGGGGGTGCCTGGCCAAATGAAAACAGGTCAATTGAATTTTTTTTTTTAAGAAAAAAGAAGACGGGCACCCTCCTCCTGGCTCAGGAGGGAGGGGGGGGGGGTGGGTGTTGATTCGGCACTAAATAATTTCTCACGAATTTGGAAGAAAGAAAAAAATAGTCCTCCTCCCTCCTCTTCCCCCCCCCCCCCCCTGTTTATTCACCGGCTGGCTGACTCGCCGCTAAATATTTTCTCAGGAATATGGCCCCTTACACTCTATACCTACCTGATCGTTAATACTCCACTTTGAAAAACGTTCCGCGAGGCCTGCATGTTACATGTAAGATTGGTGGCGATTCAGATTTTTCTTCTGCCCGCCAAACGTTTTTGCTTATTGCACCAATGCCCATACAAGGCGAGCCCCCTAGAATGTGTCCTGTATAATTCCCCTGCCCCGAGCAGTGGCGGATCCAGGGGGGGGGGGGGGGTGCGATTTTGCAAATTTTCAAGGGTAAAAAAATAAAAAAATTAGTGCTTATTCCCCCCTCCGCCCCCAGTGAGCGAATTATCGGCCTATGGGGGGGGGGGGGGGGGGGGGGCTTAACGAAATGGAGTTAAGTCTTTTGTCAACTTTGTTTGTTGCTACGACAGGCAGCCAGTGAAAACGAACTCGTTTTATCAAACTATGGAAATACAAGCAATACTTTAAACAAATAGAACTTTGTTATTCCTGGCTCATTTTTCCTGATTGAGGTGTCATATGAAAGAGCAGAAATTGAACTTTCTAGAAATGTTATTTTCTCTTTGAAATTCAGATACCGCCCGCCAAATTTTGGTTTTCTCTCTTCATGTAATTGTCCTAGAACCCTCCCTGACATCGGGCCTGACATGCTCACGCTCCCACCAAACACTTCTCTCTCTCTCTCTCTCTCTCTCTCTCTCTCGTGAAAGTACAGCCCCCCCCCCCCCACTGAAGATACTAGTTGGATTACCTTTCTCTCGCTCTCACTCTGTCACATTTTCTGTGTAGTGTAGATGAATAAGGATATATTAAAAGAAGAACTACAAGTAAAAAGCTGTGCGGAAAATAGACAGTGTTTGTGTCTTGCCTATTTATATTTATAACTAGTCAACCCTGTTTAGTCAGAAGTTATTTCCCCTTTCCATATAGACCATAATCCTTTTATTTGTTTTTTTTCCCCATCCTAGCTGGTGTCGATGATACCTCATCTCCTGTACTTCCCCGAGTTATATCAAGCTCCATGCAGTACTTCAAAAATCCAACCCAAGTAGACAACTACTCTAAAGAAAGCGGAAAAGTCAGAGAATCAAACCGATGAAAGTTTTAATTAAATCTGACAAAATATAAGGAAGTTATGAATTTGAAGGTT